AAAATTTGATAGTTATACTTCCTCCATTTTGTTGCATTGTAATTATCATATCTTTTCCGATTTTTCATTTTCATTAACAATATTATTCAATTTTGGTAACAATATTCTAGACATTTTTATTTAAAAATTTAGTAAAATAGAAAAATTTCGAGTACGAAAATAAGAGACGTAAGGACGGTGTAGACTCAATGAGGATACTGAGTACGCTGTGTTAGCTAGTCTCCTTATATTGTTACGTACCGTGTATTTTACACATATATATTATACGAAGAGGTGATGTGTATACCGATGAAAACATATTCAAACAGTAGTATCGAACGGCTGGCGATCACCTGCACATCGTGATATTTAATATAATGATAAGACATGATCACACGTCCTGACTTCTCAGAAATGATGAGTAAACGAGGTATGACATTGTACTATTTAATATGACAATCAAGACTTGATCACACACGTCTTGTAATTTTAGAACCGATGAAATCGCAGAAAGGCACCCAACTGAATAATACATTTAATTTAGAGAGTCCTTTAGGTCATCGGAAGTCACCACTCCTCAGTCACCACCTGGACGGTTAACCATATATAAGGGAGACCAGGGCAAGAGCTCAGCGACGGTTAGATATTCGAGACGCCCAGAGGCAGGTCGTAACACCACACACCATCTTGTGCTTATAAATTGTATTGCTTGTACGAGTTAATATAAATAAAAGACTTAATCTTTAATTCTGCAAACATTAGCGTTTCTATTTCTACGTTGATATATGTATCGACGTTGACATAACGGACGCAACAATATGCTATGTTTCCTCTTACACTCCTCTCCCATAAGCTTAAAGTTCATGATTTGTTGTAACCTCGTAACCACATTTTTTTTTTTTGCTAAGTTATTATTATCACGAATATAAATTTATAAAAGCTCTCCAGTATTTGTATGAGGTCTTCTACGAGTTTTTATAATGTGATAAAATATAAGTTGAAAGACCTCGGATAGGTTAAACCACTAAAATTAAAATTCATAATTTCTCATACAAATTCGACATACTTGCGAATATTAGATAGTTGTTATTGCCAATCATTTTTTTTTAAAACGTGTCCCCCAAATAATATAGTTTTTAGAAGCGTATAACTACGTTTTATAATGTGATCAACTATGAGTAGAAAGATCTTGGATAGGTTAAACCAGTATACAAAAATTTATAATTTTTTCTTATGCGTACCTACCATATATTCTCGAATAATCAATTGTTGTTATTGCTAAAATATATAATAAAGGTTATCTTAAAGCGAATGACGTTGATGATCATAGATATGGAAATTTGGTGTTATATATATATATACAATTAGAAAAATCACCAGTTTTCATAGTGAACTCAAGTGAACACAAGTGAACGCAGCGAACCGCAATAAAAGCTATAAGATATTTATTTGAAATCTTTTTCGCAAACAAATATGTAAGTACTTATTGTTACTATTTATTTTTTTTATTAATTTATATATATTGATAGATATGGATAAAAATAATCTTATTAAAGTAAACTTTATAATGAATTTATGTTAAGAAACTAGAAAATAAAATGTAAAAAAAATTTTTTATGTTCGTAAATTAAAAATAATTAAAAATATAATAACTCATACGGTTAAATATAATACATTTTTTTTTTTAAAACATTATGACTTTTAAGCTTTTAACATGTAATTGAATAGTACCATAAGTGATATATATCTAATGCCAGGTTTATACGATGCTTAGTACTTGTCATTTAGTACTTGTCACTGGCACTTGTTACTCGCACTCGCTCATTGATTGAGCGTTCACACGACACTCGCACTCGCACTCGCACTAAGCACTAAGCACAGTTTTTTTACTGTTTACACGGGGTGTATAGTATTAGTAAAAAGTAGCATATTTATTATCATTTATATATGATAATCATTGATAATAATATTAAATTACATTTATATATTAAAGTGAAGAAGTATATAATGGACCGTCGTCATATCGTAAAACAAAGTGTGAAATATTATTCAAACATAATAATTTCATCAATCATAGATGAACTAGAAGTTGAAATAAGAAAAAGACAAAAACGGATCTGGACAAAAAAATGGTTACTTAGAAGGGATACACATGGCAATTCAGTTGGTCTATTAAGAGAGCTCGCAGTAGAAGATCAAATGGAATACAAAAGGTTTATGAGAATAACACCTGTTCAATTTGACTTTTTGTTAAAAAATATAAGACACCGAATACAACGTGAAGATACAGTCATGAGACTTGCGATACCTGCAAAAATCAAATTAGAAGTAACATTATCATTTTTAGCAACCGGAAATAGTTATAGGAGTTTATCTCACTTTTTCCGGGTTTCAAAACCAGCCATTAGTGTGTTTGTTCCAGAAGTTTTGGACGCTATGTATGATATCCTTAAAGATTATATAAAAGTAAGTGAAATAGTAAATAAAACTTCATGTAATGTAAGAATATATTTTATTTGTTAAGTAGTAAATCATGCCTTCGATAAACTTTTAACATTAAAAAAAACATTTTATAAGAATTGATTATTATTAAATAACAAAAAAAAAACATAATAATAATAGCAAATTAAATTTTAAAACTTTTAACATTAAAAAAAACATTTTATAAGAATTGATTATTATTAAATAACAAAAAAAAACATAATAATAATAGCAAATTAAATTTTAAAACTTTTAACAGTAAAAAAAACATTTTATAAGAATTGATTATTATTAAATAACAAAAAAAAACATAATAATAATAGCAAATTAAATTTTAAAACTTTTAACATTAAAAAAAACATTTTATAAGAATTGATTATTATTAAATAACAAATAATAATAACAGTTACAACTTACTATTAAAATTATAATAGGAAATATGTTATGTTTTAATATTGATGATCATCATCATTGATTAAAGAGATGCCTACTGCCTTAGCTAAAATATCATTATTATCATCATCAGGTGATAATGGATCTGATCTATCAGTTGAACTTGTCATACTTGACATACTAGAATATGGCCTCCTAAAGTTTTGAATAGCCAGTTCAGTCAATATTGTTTGTATTCTAGATTGAGCGATCAATGCATTTTCATAATTTAATGGTTTTAATTGGGATGCCACACTCTTCCCAAAGCAATCAAACTGATTTTCTGGTACTTCTGGCTGATCTTTTATAATTTCTTGTAATTGTTTCAGTTCATTAATTGCACGAAAAATGCCTTTCCTATTGGTTTCTTTTTTGTTAGTTTTGCTAGGTTCTCTATTGTTTTCGAATGTTTCTCCTGAATTCATAGGTATAATGTCAATATTAGTTTCTTCAGTCTCTTGGATGTATTGAGATTCAATACTTTGAGTATAATTTTCCGAACTAGAATTCGTTACGGTCTGAAAATAAAAATATTTAATAATAAATTAGTATATAAATGTATAAATAAATATATATCTATGTATATAATGTAAATTTATGCATAAATTAAATTTACATAAAGAAGTGCACTAAAAATGTAAAAAATAAGATTTTCTTTTTTTTCATAACATTTTAAAAAATTAATAATGACTATTTCTTTACCAATTAATTAATGTACTATTAAATACAATGTTTCAGGTACCTGTTACTCATGACGAATGGAATATTATAGAAAGAGGTTTTAATTCAAGATGGAATTTTCCGGGGGCATATGGCGCCATAGACGGGAAACATGTAATGATTCGTGCACCACCTGATTGTGGCAGTGATTTTTATAACTACAAAGGGTCAAACAGTATAATTTTATTAGCGGTTGTTGATGATGATTATTGTTTTAGCTATATTAATGTTGGAGCTAATGGGAGATGCTCGGATGGCGGTGTTTTCCAAAATAGTTCTATTTTAAAGGATCTTGAAAATGGCATGTTACCAACTGGTGGTTTTTTTGTAGGAGATGCAGCATTTCCACTCAAAACGTATTTATTGAAACCTTACAAACACTCACCTCTGACGTACGAACAGAAGATTTTTAATTACAGACTATCTAGGGCGCGGAGGATAGTTGAAAATGCATTTGGCATCCTAGTGTCCAGATTTAGGATTTTTGAAAAACCTATTGGAACAGATGTGTCCACAATAGATAAAATCATACGTACAGCTTGCGCTGTACATAACTGGCTGAGGAAGACTTCAAATAATTATTTAATTAGAGACAATGTAGACTATGAAAATGTAGACACTGGGGAGATTATACCAGGTACATGGAGACAGGAAAACCTAACATTAATGCCAAGTATTGACCGAGTAGGAAGTAATCACTATTCAAGACAGGCCAGAGAAATAAGGGAAAAACTTAGTAAATATTTTGTAAACGAAGGTGCTGTCTCATGGCAATCCAGAATGATTCATTGAATTCAACAGATTCCATAATATAATAAATATGTATTTATATATTAATATTATAGCAGTTAAGTTTTAGATTTAATAATAATTATAAAATTTATTGTAATACTAAGGTAAAAATAAATTTCAGTTTAACTAAAATGTAATAAATATTTTATGATTAAAAACATTACAATTGTATATAACTACTTAGAGTCTAAAATAATTAGTTATACCAAAAATAATTTTAAACTGAGTGTTAAGAAATTGTAACATAATACAATACTTACATTATCAATAGTTTTCCTACGTTCATCCGAATCTTTTAATAATGCGTTCATCTCTGTAAACCATTTAATGTTTGGAACGTACACATTGTCACCACTACTTCCTGATGATTTTGATTTTTCAATTTTTTTTTTCTTGATAATACGTCGATTTTAGGTTTCTCATTTTGTTTTTCACTTCAGCTACATTGAAACCGTCAATAGCCATTTCGACAACAATTTTTTGGTATGCCGCTTCACGCATGTGTTTGTTTTTGTAAGAACTGTGTTTAGCGTTCCATAGACATTCATGTGATTTAAACTCCTCGATAAACTTTATAGTGGTTTGCGCATTCCACTTTTCAGCCATTTTAAACTTTTTAAAGTAATTAAATGAATTTAAAAATATTAATATAACGAACAATATTTATCATTGATATTATCACAGTGTGCAACATGCGCCGCACACGTGATAACACAAATATTACTAAGCACTATACGTTATTCCATCTAAGAATGAACCGCTCGGTCGACGAAAACTCGTCTTGTTCGCGCATCCACTATAAAACCAGGCACGGCCGCCGCAGCGCCGCGAGCGTTGGTGTTGTTCGCAGCTGTCTACGGAGTGTTTTATTAACACGGTGTCACTTGTTTGATTTCACTTGCGCGTATACGTTTACTTTTGCGATCACCACAAATTTTTGTTGATAATTAGTTACATTCCTTAGCAAAATATTAGCTTTTTTTGTTTGTTTTGTAATTTTTTAATTACTATGGATCAACAACCTGTAGGCCGGTCTCCAGTAAAAAGAAATTCGAAAGGAAAGGTAAGAAAAAAATATATTTTGTAATATTTATGAATTTTTTTTTAAGCATTAAATGAATATTTTTTATAGAATATTATTCTGGTTTTATAATAATAAAATGTTACAATTTCAGCGAGTAGATTCTGGTAAGAGACAAATGATCATAAATGCATACAAATCAAAATTGGAGTCAGATCCAACAAAGTCGTTACGAACAATCCGGCAGGAGTTATCGAAATTATTGGGCATTGGAGCAACAACAATTTCCACAACAATTACGGAGTACAACAATTCAAAAACGGTAATATCTCCTAGTAAAACTCGTATCAAAACATCCTTCCGCGATACATATGAAGAGTTGGAGAGAAATGTGGTTCGTAGACATGTGCACAGTTTTTGGTTTAAACGCGAAATTCCTACGGTTGACAAAATACATAAAGCAGTTTCCGATGACGACTCCTTACCGAATATTTCAAGGACAAATCTTTTTAGACTCTTGAAAGACATGGAATTTAGGTACAGTAAACGCAGTCGAAATAGTGCGTTGACTGAAAAAACTGAAATAGTGTTGTGGCGTAGACGGTTTCTCGAACAATTGCGAAAATACCGAGAAGAGGGTCGACATTTGTATTATCTCGACGAGACCTGGGTAAATGCTGGTGAATGTACAAGTAAAACGTGGATCGATACAACAATTAAATCACCTCGAGACGCGTTTTTACAAGGCGTAACAACTGGTGCCGTAAATCCAACAGGAAAAGGCAAACGCTTCATCGTATTGCATATAGGGTCAGAAGACGGCTTTGTTCCCGGCGCACTATTGTGTTTCGAGTCAAAAAAAAATACCAGAGATTATCATGACGAAATGAATGGGGACACATTTTATGAATGGATGGAGGGTGTACTGCCTCGATTAAAAGAGAACAGTGTTATAATCATGGACAATGCCTCATATCATTCTGTGAAGATAGATAAAGCACCTACGTCGCAAACTAAGAAGGATGATATTATAAAATGGTTGGTAGATAAAGGCGAAATTATAGACAGACCCATGATTATTCCACAACTTCTGGAAATTGTGAAAAAGATCAAACCACAACATCAAAAGTACGCAATTGACGAACTGGTAAAAAAAAAAATCGGGTTATACTTCGACTTCCTCCATATCATTGCGAGCTTAACCCGATTGAACTGGCTTGGTCATCGGTTAAAAACTACGTCAAGATGAACAATAAAACCTACAAATTACCCGATGTAAAAAAATTATTGATCGAGGGCGTCGAACGTGTGAATGCTGACATGTGGAAGAATTTTATTAGCCACACGAAAAAAGAAGAAGATAAATTTTGGGAAATCGACTTCATCGTAGATGACGTATTGTCGGCAGAGGTGGAATCGGTGGTAATGACAATCGGAGATACAACATCAGACGAATCTTCCGACATTGAATCTGATTAATTTTTATATTGTGTTAATTTTTAAATTGTATTATATTGACGTATTATTTTTTTTTTTAAATTTTATTTTATATTGACGTATTCATTCCTTTTAAATTGTATTATATTGACGTATTCATTCCTTTTAAATTGTATTATATTGACGTATTATTTTTTTTTTTTAATTTTATTTTATATTGACGTATTCATTCCTTTTAAATTGTATTATATTGACGTATTATTTTTTTTTTTTAATTTTATTTTATATTGACGTATTCATTCCTTTTAAATTGTATTATATTGACGTATTATTTTTTTTTTTTAATTTTATTTTATATTGACGTATTCATTCCTTTTAAATTGTATTATATTGACGTATAAGGTTTTTTTTAATTTTATTATATATTGTATTATATTATTTATTTGTGGTGTCTTTGAAAAATATCGAATGAAATCGTCGCCGTCACCGATTGTCTTATTACGAAATATTTTAATACATTTATATTGTTTATATTATATAAGTATTAAATACGAATACTGTCTCATTTAATTTATTATGTAAGCAATAAAAAAATTGAATTAATAATATATTTTTTCTATTTGTTTGAATTGATATCCCAATCTGATTACTAATGAAAATACGTATTGTATTATCGATTGCGAAAAACGCAAAAGCTTTTATGACTCTCTGTATACACGGCAGCAGCACCGGCGCCGACGATCGACGACGATCGACGATGATTATCTTCAATCACAGAACGCATAGCCATCGCCTAGGGGGTCAGACGATAAACGGCGGCTCAGTCTGTGTGCAGTGTGTGCACGAAAGCGGTTCATTCTTAGATGGAATAACGTATATAATGTTGATTTATTGTCATTTGTAATTCTGTATTGCTGTGCGTTACTACAATGTAACCGCGCAAGTTCGTAAGTTCGTAACGACTGACCACTAACGAGTAAAAGTTATAAAAAAACATTTGATATTATCATTACCATAATGAATATAGATTCATAATTCATAGAGTTCTTATATTTTTAAATTCTAATCAACATGAATAAAAATAATCAAAAATGCAATAATCGCAAAGGCGGAGCAGAAAAATTACGGCAAAAACGGATCGCAGAATTTAAAGCTGCAGGAAATGATCCTAAACAGAAAAAGTTGTCATTTGGTCTTAACTCTGCCCCAAAAGGTAAGTTTCTATATTAATTATTGTGATATTGATGGTTTTTATTAATATTAAATTATTAAATATTATGTTAAGTACATTGGTATTTTCATGTACAGAACATTATATAATACCTATTCACTTAATTCATTTTTTTTTCCAAATTAAAAATAATTTTTAAACATAAGCTTTGAGGAGTTAAATATTTACCCAGTGGAATATTGGATCATTGGATACAAAATATTTATAATAATAGTAATATAGGATATTGATATTATTATTTTTCTTTTAATTTGTAAATAAATACAATTTAGGTTGTTTATTGATACCTACTTCTTGTCTTGGATTACATAGAGTTAATTATGTCATATAATATTAGTGTATTATTCATATTGACATTGTATAAAAATCTGTATAATTTAAGCTTAATCTAAATATTTTAACAGATTTCTATTAAGACATTATTAATTTTTTTTATATAGATAGTTATTTATACAAATACATGACAATAATTTAAATCAATTTTTAACTTTAACAATGAGGTATCTAGAAACAAAGTAATTTATTAAACATTTTTTTTTTCTTAAATAGTAATTATTATAGGCACCTAACTAATAAATCTAAGGAATACCACTGAACTTGTGTAGGTAATAAATGTTTAATTGTAAACATAACTATTTAATTTTATTATTTGTATTAATATAGTATTCTTCACATGCTACTCTTGTGTCAATTGGTACTTACTAAAATAATATAGGTACCCAAAAGTCAACCAAATTAATAAACATTTATGTTTCAACAGATGAAAATAATCAACTACAACTTCAATGTCTTCAACAACCTCAAGACTCAGCTTTAGATACGGTTTGCACATGCAATTTTATAATTTGAAATTTAAACTATGGTAATAACTAATAAGTAATAAGTAATAACTTTTAGGAATACCATCTAGACAATTGGCCTATCGAACAAGAAGTTTTACCATCAGAAAAGGATAATATGGAAGTTACATCCATCGCAATATCTTCTCCATTTGAATTTGTATCGGTATGATAGAAATATTTAATTTAATTAAATACATTTATCAACAATTATAATTTATAATATTTTTAAAAATCTTTAAAAATGCTGACTATAATAATTTATTTTTAGGAATCCAATCTCGACATTTTTCCTGTTGAACGAGAAGTTTTACCATCAGAAAATAATGATATTGAAGTTACATCTATCCAAATACTGTCTACGTTTGAATCGGTATATCAGAAAAGTTAAATTTAATTAATTACATTTATCAAAAATCACTACACTAAATTAATACAAAATAAAGTAACAAAAGATCATAACGCTCTACACAAATTAATATATTTAATTTATAATTAAAACTCTATCAAAAATATTAAAAATTTTCAAAACTTTTGTTAGATTTTAGTATTTTACACTAGATAATTTTGTATAATTTATCCACACACAAATTAAATGTTTATGTTAATTTATGAACAATATATTTTTTTTAGAATGATAGTTCTTCAACCAAAGATAATGAACTTCAATTTTTAACTGAAAATTCTATATGGAAAAATGACCCGGCAAATTTAAAACAAATTAAACAATTAACTCCAGAGTTGAGAAATATGTTTTTAGAATGGGGACCTTGTCAACCTAAGGAACATGAATTGCCTAATAATGAGTATCCGAAAGACAGCTCCAAAAGAAGTTTTCATTCATCTTGGTATTCAAGAAAATTATTAGATAGCACATTTGAACAACGTAACTGGCTTACATATTCTCCAAAATTAAACAAAGTGTTCTGTCTGTATTGCATAATTTATGGAAATAATTCAAATGATGCCTGGGTGAAATATGGTTTCAGATCATCTCGTTATTTTAGAATTAGTACTGATTCCACATTTGACATTTCACACAAGGAACAATTTTCTTTTGTAGTCAGGTATTTATTCAATTCCAAAATATATGAAAGGCTAATTGCATTATCTGAATCATCAAATACTACAGGTCAATCACTTTTTGAACTTTTTAAATCAGTTATGGAAAAATTTGGATTAGATTGGAGTCAAAATTTAATTGGACAGTCATATGATGGTGCAGCAAATATGAGGGGATCATATAGTGGACTTCAAGCACATATTATCAAAGAAAACCCAAAAGCTCTTTATGTTTGGTGCCATGCATATAGATTCAATTTAATAGTGTTATCTGCTGTTGGTTGCTGTAAAGAAGCAGTAGATTTATTTGGCAACATGGAAAAACTATATTCTTTTATTGTGGGTAGTAAAAAGAGATCCGATATTTACAGAAAAAATCAAAGGGAATTATATCCAAAGAAACAATTAAAGGCAATCAAAAGAGTCGGAACTACTAGATGGATGTCCAACTCATTTGCACTATACTCTGTTCCAAAAGAGAACGATCATTTTGGCCGACCGGTTTTCGTCGGTCGCTGCGCATCTCCCACCAATTACCCGTAAGCGGATTGTCGAGCGCCGCGTGGTGGAGTGCGTGCGATCACGGGTGCATCTCTGCGCGATTCTGCGGGTGCGTGCGCCTTGGCCTTACTAATTAGTAATTAGTAGTTGCTAAAACAGCCGCAGGCTTTCGCGCGTTTCGGTAATCGTAAAAGCTCGGCAACGTCTTCGTGAAACGTCGTGTAGCAAGGTGGAAGAAATTTGGCCTTGGTACTGCTGCAGCCATCAGTTGTATGCGCAAAAGTGACCGTTCTCTTTTGGAACAGAGTATACCTCTAACCTTGCTCTTGAAACATTAGAAGCAATTTTAGATATGCTTGAGCAAGTAAAAAATGTTGAAGGCCCGGCTGATTTTAAAATTGGTAGTGAATGTAATGGGTTACAATTATATTTTCAGTCATCTCGTTTTATACTAACAGCGTTTATATTTAAACATATTTTTGAAGTCATGGAACCTTTAAGTAAAGTACTTCAATCTTGTGATTTGGACTTATTGACAGCAGTTGATTATTTAAAAAAGGCGGAACAAAAAATAACAATGATGCGTACTGATGAACAATTTAATACTATTTTTGAGGAAGCAAAACAATTTTCTGAAGAACATTTTGGTGATTTTAATTTAAATAATTTAATGTCATTTAGAAATCGAAAAAGAAATGTAGTTCGGCGTTCAGGTGAACTCTGCATAGATGAATCCATTGAAAATCCTAAACAATATTATAAAATATCAATTTTTTTTTTGATAATTGATATTATTGTACAACAACTCAGCGATAGATTTGATAAAAATACCATATCTGTTATGAAAGATATAGGTATATTATCCCTAAAGCGTATAAAAGAAGTTGGTCCTGTGCCTCAAGATGCATTTAGTAAAATATGTGATATCTATGGAATTAATCAAGAGTCTGTAAGAAATGATTACATACTATTCAAAAGTATAATCAAAGATTTAGATCTCAATTTATTGAAAAAATTACCAGCTAAATTGCACGATGACTCTGAAGAATATACAAGTGGTTCAGATGAAAGTAATAAAGAAGATGAAGAAGAATTGCAAGATTTAAATAATTTTGGAAGCCTAAGAAATATTTTTGAAATAATTAATACTATGAATATTAAATCGGAGTTTGAGCATTTGTACACAATAATTAAAATAAGTTTAACATTGCCTACATCTAGTTGTACTGTAGAACGAAGTTTTTCTAAATTAAAAATCATAAAATCAAGACTGCGTTCCACTATGGATCAAAATAGATTAGAGAATTTAATGATTATTTCTTGTGAACAGGATATAAACATAGATGTGTCAAAGGTAAAAATGATACAAAATTCGTATTTTTCTTTTTTCAGTTATTACAAAATTATTAATAATTATAATACCTATATATTTTATTTTGTTTGTTTTAGGTAACAGATATATTTGCGAGAAAGTCACCAGTATTATCTAGGTTACTAACATTTTAATATTAATATTTATAATTGTGTACCACTATGATTCTTGGCAAAAAAAATGTTTTATCAAGAAATTTTGTTATTTTATTTTAATATTATTAAATATATTGTATAATTATATTAATTAATAATTTCAATATATATGTGTGTAGAATATATCAGAATATATTATCATGGGTGTTTTGGTGTTTATTACCTAATTATAAGTAAAATATTTTTGTTAGGTATGTTTGAAATTGGTTTTGTTAATATTATTTAGTTTGTGGTGTTTAGGTAAACATGGATGAATAGCTAATTGCTTATAAGTGTATGGTAAAATAAAATAGGCTATAAGGTTTTTCAGAGACAAACCCAAAATTGTCACTAGGCTGTCTTAGGTGGTGGGGAGTACAAAAAACTTATAATTTACATTTTCTTTTAAAATTGAACATCAATATTTTTTGGGTTAAAACCACTACCCCCCCCCCTCTCACCGGTGGCATTGGGGCCGATATTTATATATTGATGCCTTTTCAAATATTTTTCGCCCGACTTCATTTTTAGGACTTCGGCGCCACTGCTGGTAACCACGATATAGGCACGGCTAAACATACTTTCAATCAAAAACTTTCAAGTACTCGCGTTATTGTAGAAAATGTTTTTGGGGTGCTGACATCTGTTTACCGAATTTTTAAGAAACCGATGGAGATCAATATAAAAAATGTACCAAATGTAACTATGACTTGTATTTTGCTGCATAATTTTTTAAGAAAAAGTGAATCCTCTCGGAACATTTACACACCTCCAGGAACTTTCGATTACATAATGGACGGACAACTTGTTAATGGCACTTGGAGACAAGACCACACCGAATCGTCAGGTATAAGGCCAATACCAAATGTGGCTAGACGAACATCAAGCAATATTATGGAAATTCTATCAGAATTTGCTGATTATTTACATAATTTAAATTAAGTAGGTATTACTATATATTAAAAATTTAAATTATAACACTTATATGCACTTCACATAATTTTTACTTATATATTATTGATGTAAAATTAATATTTTTTTATCTGTATAATATAATATAATATAATAATATTTTATCACTTATGTTTACTAAAATAAATGTATTTTCACTCACCTCATATTCCGTATTTATCTCGGTATTTATTGTTTCTTCGACATCATAATTTGTTTCCAAAAATCTCTCCATAACATCATATTATGCAAACCATATTGTCTGAAACACGTCGTCAGCGCCCGCTCCAGATCTTATTGACGCTTTTTTCTTTTTTAGAAGAGGCCTAAATGTAGCCATTAGTGATTTTTTTTTGGCTTTAAGTTCATCAATCGGAATAGACATGTCAAAACTAATTCTTTTCCACGCATCATGCACCTTATGTTTTAATTTATGGTATTTATCTTTTGTATCCCAAATAACTCGTTCACCCTCATATAATTCTAAAAATTTTATGGTTGTTTCAATGCTCCAATCAGCTTGCATATTGACAATTAAAAAAAAATTATTTGAGCACCAAAATTTAAATAATAAAATATAAATAATACGCAAGTGTATAGTTCTTTGACACGCGTTTAGCGGCAACTGAATGTAAACACGCAATCGCGCTCGCGCTGCCGGCTAAGGTGCTATTATTAGTAGGGCAATGTAAACACTCACTGCCCTACGACGCTGCCACAAAAGTATTTTGGGAATTACAGCAGCGCGAGGAGCAGCGGAAATGGCTGAATGTAAACGAGGCAATAAGTGTCGATAACAAATAAAAATATAAAGTTTATACGGATCAAGCGAATGATCGACCTTCGCCGTATAATAGGCTATTTGGATTATTTATCTGTTATATCATACATTTATTCAAATCGCATTACAGAAAAAACTCATGATTAGGATACTATATACATCTAGCTATCTATGAATGAGTATAGGACATAGATAGTTTAGACTAAAAGACGCGAGTACATCTTCGAATACAATATAAATTAATAAATTACATAATACGTAATATTTGTAAATAATATAAAAATTGTTTTATGTATTAGGCATTAGCAAATCGAGTTTAACCCTTTCAAACCCATAATTATTTTGGCCGATAATTTTTTTTTTTTTTGCAATATTTCAATTTAGGACCCCAAAAGAAATCATTTTGCCAATTTTCAAAATTTTTGCACTTAAATTTTCTAAGATCTGAAGTGGGTCATTATAATGACCCACGGGACACAAAAGAATACTTTTTATTTATTTTTAAATTTGTTTTATTAAATTATTAAACAATGTAATAACAACTTAAAAATGATTTTTAATTTTTATTCGTAAATAACCTTATTTTCTTAAAACTAATAACACCTGTGAAATAAATATTTATAATTTTTAATTATAAAATAAAGTAAATCAACCTTTGTAGCATAAAATAAAATAAATCAATCTTTGTAGCATTATAAAATAAATTTGTTTTCATTGATAAATTTTGTTTAGACTTTAGTATGGTATTCTTCAAAACAATTTCTGTCTTTCGTTAAGCATAGGTGGACATTACATTTCTTGCAAAAAAAATGTGTTCTGTTGTTTCTTGCAGGGCCGTATTTGAGGGGGGGCAAGTGTACCTTGTTGCCCGGGGCGGCAAATTTTTTAGCTTATTAGGGGGGCGGAAATTTTATATCGAAATATTATGGCGTATCTAATAACAAAAAAAAAAATGTTTTTATTTATATTTCAATACATTTATTGGATAATTATTATCATTGATTACAAACACTATATAATATTTATAATCAATTTTATTATTTAATATTAAGTATTATTATATCTATAAATAGATTAGACTTTTTGAATGTACGATAACGTCGATAACGATGAGTGTTGCACCACCGCGACTGTGCCCATATTATCGTGAAAACAAGCTGGTTCTCGGTATAGCCGAATCGCGTGCGTCTTACTATTACATATTAAATTATTAAATTTTAAATTTACATCTGTTGGTGAATTGGTGACAGATATACGTTTATTTATTTTTTTATTAAACGATACACAGTCAAATTTAAGTTTTTTCCATTTACGGTTCTATTTACGATTACGGAAGTTATGGATCGTAAAAAACTTAGTGGTGCTGGATACCGGTTAAAAGCCAAAGAAAAGGCTAGACAAATTGCTGATGTTGTTGTCAAGACTGAAAATATTAAACAATTTTTTTCTGTTTCAACCTCTAATTCTGGAGCTAGTGTTACTACGGATTCGAGTAAGTAATTGATTAATAACAGTTATAAGTAATAACTAATAAGTAGGTGTTAAGTAATAACTGGGTCTTCAGTTCTTCACTCTCTTATTGTTGTTTAATATTATTAAACAAATACTTTTAATTCATATTGTATGAGTGAAATATAAAATTAAATATTAATTATATTGTATTGTTATATTATATTGTTATTATTATATTATATTAATACATAAACAAGTCTGTAAATAAATATGAGAAGTTGGGAACGTAGGTATCTAATATTATTAGATATATTATTTCATGTCATTTTATTTTTTTGTTACCAATTAAAAATATTTATATTGACTTGTTTATTTAGCAGTGCTTGATAATTCTAATGATGGAGAAAATATTTTATTAGAAGCAAACAATGATAATATATTGGTGAATGTTGATCAGTTTAAAGCACCCAGGTAAATTAAATATTTCATATTTTATTAAAAACATTATTTATGAATTACTATAATAAATTATGTATATGAAGTAGTCCTGTGTTTTTAGTACAGATACCTATTTAGTTTTGAAACAAATAATTAACAAATGAAATAATTTAGAAAATTCAGAAACTTATGTTAGGATTGAATTAATTAAGTCATTACCTACATTTAATATTATATTATTGTGATAAATGCTTTTTTAATTTTATAATCTTCATAGCTATATAATTTTAGTACAAAAAATACACTAGTATAAAAATAATTAAAAATACTTTTTAAATATATTAGGGCAAAAATAATTAAGAATAAACACAAGTACTTGAAATGTATTTAAATATATAAAACAGATACTCTTTTTGCTGTTCAAACATTGAATTCTTATACTTTCAATGTAATGTTTTATTAGTTTATTACCTAAATATCATACCCATACCTCTTACAATGATTCAGTATTTTTTTATATTACCAAAACTTATTAATGTTTTAGTGATTTAACTTAATAAAAAATAATTAATTTTACATATTTTTTTGTTGTTGTCTTGTTGATAATTAATTAAATATTTTTTATTTTCTAATTACAATAATTATAAACCAAGTTTTATATTTTAGATTTTAATAGTAATGATCCTGCACTATGTATCATTAATGATGTTACAAGAGACACAATATCTACATGCGGAATATCACAAAATATTAAAGAATTAGATTTTTCAAATTCAAAAAGAATCTATAATAATGTTATTCGAGGGAAAAAACAAGTTCATTTTAGGTACTGTTCAGCCAATTTTTTTTATACAGTTCTTATCAATGGTGAAAGAATTCAAAGAAATTATCTTGCATACTCTCAAAGTACAGGTGCTATTTTTTGTATCCCTTGCAAATTATTTGGAGCAAATTCTGCTTTTGCTACAAGTGGATTTTCAGATTGGAAAAGAGCGAGTAATAGAATTGCATCACACGAGCAATCGCCAGTTCACAAATCAAATACATTGACTCTAAAAAATCGAGGAACATTAACAAATAGGATTGACAGTGGATTATTGGATCAAATTAATGATGAAGTTAATTATTGGAAAAATGTTTTGAAAAGAGTGGTTGTAGTGGTAAAAACCTTGGCAATAAGAGGATTAGCTTTTAGAGGTAACTCAGAGAAAATTGGATGCCCACACAATGGAAATTTTTTAATGTCAATGGAATTAATAGCACAATTTGATCCATTTTTAGCATCACATATTTCTAAATATGCTAATAAAGGAAAAGGGTCAACATCATACTTATCGTTCCATACATATGAACAATTTATAACTTTAATGAGTGACAAAGTATTGGAAAATATTCTAAAAGAAGTCCAAACAGCAAAGTATTTTTCAATAATAGTTGACTCAACACCAGATATCTCCCATACTGACCAATTATCATTAGTAATAAGGTATGTTTTCGATGGGTATCCTAAAGAACGGTTCATGTGTTTTTTAGAGAATACTGGTCATAAATCTGAACAATTGGCTGATAGTGTATTAACCACTCTTGCATTATATAACATTGATTTAGCCAACTTGAGAGGACAATCTTATGATAATGCAAGTAACATGTCAGGAGCTTACTCAGGTCTACAGGCAAGAATCAAGGAGGTTAATCCACTAGCTGAGTATTCTCCATGTGCTGCACACTCTCTAAATTTGGTTGGTAGTTGTGCAGCAAATTGTTGTGACGAAGCCTGTCATTTTTTTGAACTGTTACAAGCAGTATACTGTTTTTTTACGGCATCAACTCAACGGTGGGCAATGTTGAATGCAAAAGTGACGTTAAAAGGTTCAGCTCGGTGGTCGGCTCGCGAAGATGCTTGTAGATCACTTAACAAAAATTGGGATTTGGTCATTGGAGTGTTGAAAAAAATTTTGGACGATACTAGTCAAAAACCAACCACACGCTGTGAAGCCAAAGGATTATTGAAAAAGTTAAACCGCCTAGAATGTGCTCTGATGGCTGTATTTTGGGGTGATATTCTTGAAATTTTGAATAAAACAAGTAAAAAGTTACAATCTGTTAGTATTGATTTAATCACCGTTGTTCAGCTTTATGATTCAACAATATATTATGTTAAATCGGCTCGCAATAGAAATAGATTTATGGATTATGAAAATTCTGCTAAAGACTTGTCTGGATTAAGTGACTATAAAGAAAATGAGAAACGAAAAAGAAGACGAAAGTTACCACATGGCGAAACCAGATCCAATGATGTGACATTATCCGGCCGAGAAAATTTTATTGTAATGACATATTTTTTTATACTAGACAATTTACTATCAGAGTTACAAAAACGCAAGTCTGCTTATGATAATTTGGTAAAAAAATTTTCCTTTTTTCATAATATAACACAGCATTCAATTAATGAAATTCGTAGAAGTGCTAAGGAATTATATGAAGCTTATCCAAATGACCTAAATATAAGTTTGGCTAGTGAGGTGGTCCAGTTACAAGGGTACATCCATAGCTTAGGAACTTCTGACAATAATCCTCAAACTATTTTGGAACTCATGTTATGGATAAGAAGTAACAATTTCATAGTTTTGTATCCATACGTAGAAATTGCGATACGTATTTTTTTATCAACAGCATCTACTAACTGTTCAGCTGAACGTTCGTTTTCTGTTCTAAAACGAGTAAAAAATTATCTAAGGTCAACAATGAATCAAGAAAGATGTTCTGCGTTGGCTTTATTGACAATAGAATCTGATATAACCAGTAAAACAGATTTCGAAGAAATGATAATTTTATTCTCAGACCTTCAGTCAAGGAGAAAGTTATAAATGTATTTATATAACTATTTAGATTATAATTATTAATAAAAAATACAATACTTAACAATAAATAATACATTATTTACTTGAAACTATTTTCTTTATTTAACATTGGTTATTTCCTATGTAGAAAAATAATTATAATAGAAGAAATATTAATATTTATAGAGATATTATATTATATTTTGTTAAATTTTTATGATCGTAATTATTATTCATAATACATTTTACAATTATTTACACACATGAATATAATATAATATAATAGTGTACCTATATTGTATATACATTTAATTTGCCAATATTATATTAGTGAGAGTAGCATATTATTATGTTTATGTAGTTGGTTTAATTTTCTGTGAACCAAAATTATATACAACAAAATAGTTACACCTTATATTTTAAGAAATAGCATTTGGGGGGGGGGGGGCAGAAATATGTTGCCCCGGGGCGCAAATTGTCCAAATACGGCCCTGGTTTCTTGAGCACGTTGGACTTTTGCACTTCGTCGCATTTTTCAAGCTATCCATTTGTGGCATATGGTCTATTCGGTCATACCTAACAGCATCTGAAGCGATTGGACTATCAGTGCGACTTTTTGTTTGGCTTAAAGAGTATGATGATGATGACGATGTAGGAGAAGGTGAAGGAAGATGACTAAAACTCGTACTTGCAGTATCAAAATTTGGTGAACTATAAGTTAATCTTGTTGGTCGTCCCACTTTATTTTTCTTTGCTGTCGCTATTTTTCGCGTAGAACGTATTAATTCATCTGCCAACTGTAGACGAAAGTGTAACAAATCTAATATTTTTTTTTTTAGTACCGATAATTCGGTAGCCTCCTTTTTGTATTGAAGCCACGAATTGCTAGCTACTAAATCAAAAGCGTGAGTGATAAGGCGTAAAGTCCATTTTTTAGATTTAATAAAAGTTCTATAAAAACTTATTAATTGATCGCTTTTGTCTACTCCGCCCATACTTGAGTTGTACAATTTTACGATCTCCGGTCTTTCTACAGTGATATATTCTTTTTTTTTTTATCATATCTTTGTACTGTATCAATTGTTCCTGATGTAATGAAATTTGAACCTAAAGTCACGGCCTTATTATCATACCATTTTACTAAGCCTATAGTCTATACTAAATAAATTTTTAACGTCAGATCTTATTTCAAACGTGGTTCCTCTACCCAGTTTTGCCATTTGTTTATCAAGTAATAAAGGAGGTTTAGCGAAACGATTTGGTCTTACTGTTCCAGCCGCATAAATACCAAGATTATAAAGCTGCTCAAATAAATTGTATGTGGAAAAAAAATTGTCGAAAAATAAAAAATACATATTTTTTTTTACAGTATGCACGAGATGCAAGACAACTGATGCTCCAAGACCAAATAAATGTAAATTATCTTGACTTAATTCGGTAGAACTTCCTTGGTACAGTATAAAATCGTAAATCATTCCATTTTCTGAAGCTAAAACAAATATTTTAACTCCCCATGGGCATGGCTTACCGCGCATATATTGCTTAACTGATAATTTACCTTTAAAATGTACCATTTGTTCGTCTATGCAGAGATTTCTTTCTTTTGGTAATTCATTACATTTTTTCTTTATTAGATCGTACAGCGGACGAATTTTAACAAATTTATCATGATTGTTATTTGAAATGTCTAAATTATTAATTATATGTAAATTTTGTCTGAGTTGAAAAAAACGGTCCCTTGGCATCGAATTAAAAACACTTGGTACTTTAAAATTTTCTTCCCAATACATTCTAACTCTAGGAAATTTAAGACAACCCATAATTAAATGTATTGCAATTAGCACTCGTATTTCTTGTTGATTTGTTGCTTTAAAATTGGTTAAATTTTGTTGAATAGCGTACAAATTAGTATTGAATGCAACAGTTTCAAAAAAATCGTCATTAAAATAGTACATAAAATAATTGATCAGATTACGTAAAAAAATAACTGGATCAGTTATATCAAGATTATCCAACACAATATTAGGAGTATTAAATGGTTGTTGTATCCATTTAATATTTTTTTTTGATGTGATCATAGGCAAAATATTATTAACAGTACGCACATCATTAATATTATTAGCATTACAATTATCTATTTCAGTATCAAAACTATAATTACTATTAAATTCTTGTAAAAGTTCGTCTAGTTCATCATTTGGGAATTCATCTTCATCATAAGAAAAATCTAGTTCCGATTCGTCACCGTCTAATAAGTCCATTATATTTTGGCTGGATAATTTATTATGAGCCATTTTTTTATGTTCACAATAATATGTAAAATATAAAAAACAGAAAAATTGACGAAAACGGCCATCTATAATATACGAGTACAAACGACTTACAAGTAGAGATGTGTCGTTCGTGAACGAACTAGTTCAATTGAACTATTCTCCAAAGTGAACGATTAGGACTAGTTCACATTTAGATGAACGACGTCGTTCATCGTTCACCTACACTGTACACTGTACAGTGTACACAGAAGAACGGTTTCCACCACCTTAATAAAACGTTCACAGTGTTCGCCACCGAAGTTCACTGAACGAGACCGTTCAGACTGAACGGTCACCGCCATACCGATATTACGTTCACTACTACCAACTACTAAAACGTTCACACCCAGATGGTGAACAATGTCGTCTTTCTACTCTTTCTGCTTTCACTATAATCAACTAGATCTGAATAATGATAACGAATGGTGATACTTTTTTTTTTACTGTTGTTGCTTGTCCACTGTCCACTGTGTCCAGTACCTACTGTTCATATTTAGTGAATTAATGGTTATGTACCTACTTATGTCTCGTTATACATGTATGACTTATGTTTTATGATGCACACACTCCTATGTAAGTATTCATTATTATTTTTGTAGATATCAACTATCATTATTTATTAAATACATTTTGTTCTTAAAAGTGTTAAGTAGGTATATGTAAAGGCATCCCAAGAAAAAAAACAAAAGCATAATGTAAAAATGTGTTAACTAAATTAAACTGTGAAGCAAACCACCGCAATTGATCTTACTACCTATCCATAAACCATAAGTTATTAGTGTTATTACTAATAATAGGTACTTAAGATTGTATTGTAAGATTGTGTAAATCATATTTTAAATAAAACCAAAATTACAAAATAATTATTACATATTATAAAAAACTATTGCATACTTATATGAAAAATAAAATAATAACTAAGCCCTTGTTAAAAAAAACATTTATATTAAACATTTTATATACATAAAAAACAAATGATTAAATTCTAATAAAAATGTCCAATATAGATAGAAACAAAATATAAACACTAAATTACAACTAACAACTATAAAACAAAAATAAAATAATAAAAATATAAAATATAATTAAAACAATTGTAACAGGATATCTATGTTGTTAATAGGTACATAAATAAATTGCAAAAATTAAAATGTTAAATATATAAAATAAAACTATAACAGAATAACTGTGGTCAATACTATAAAAACTACAAAAATCCTACAACCTTTAAAAGTGATAAGTAATATGTACATTTTTACAGGTTTTGATTTAAAAATAATACTTGTGAAGACTTGGAGGCTAGTATTCGTGATCTTTTTTCAGTTATGACCATGCCTGCTTTGCTGAACAGTCTCTCGCATGGAACTGAGGTAGCTGTTACACATAACCGTTTTCTTACCATCACATACAAACGTGGATACATTAATTTATGCTCAGTCCACCATTTTAAGGGATCTTCACATCTGCTTATAAGTGGCTCCTGTAAATACCTATCCAATTCGATAATCCCAGCTGCTGTGGGATTAATTGAAGTTTGATTAGCTTCATATTGTTGATCAAACCTTTTCCATATCAATGAAGATGATGAAGAAGAAGATGCATTTACAAAGCTGGTTGATGCAGTTGGATTATCCGTACCAGGCAAAGTCACTTGACAGACTTTCTTCTTCAACTGGTCAATTGCTAGTTCCAATTTTCTTTGGCTATATCCGTCAAATGCCATCTTCTTAAACCTCGGATCAAGAAGAGCTGATTGTGTCACAATTTCATTTTCTTCATAGCCTGAAAATCTTGACTGCAATTCTCCCAACAATGTATTGACCAATTCATAAGCTTCATGTGGTAATGCTGTATTACTTTGAAAACTAACCATTGTGTCAATCATTGCTCGTATGAAGATAAGAATTTTGGACATGCTAACATATCGTTCGCTGCTTATTTCTTTTGTGACTTCTGCAAATATTTGTAAAATATTTGCTGAACATTCAACAATTTGCCATTCTGCCACAGTCAATTGTTCCACATCACATTGAAGAATAGCTAAAGTAGAAACAACAGCATCTTTAATTTCTATTATACGTTTAAACATATCATGTGTGCTGTTCCATCTTGTAACCACGTCTTGTTTTAATTTTAATGGCGACAAGCCCATTTGTTGTTGCATTGCCAGGAGTTTAGACTGTGCATGTGAACTTCGTTTGAAATATTCCACTATGGATTTGACTTTTTTTTTAATGTTATTAATATCTTTGAGACCTTGTTGGACAACTAAATTTACACAATGGGCAAAACAAGATACATGCCGAAAATTGCATTCTCTAATGGCTCCTACTATATTAGGAGCATTATCACTTACAACTGCAGCTACTTTGTTCTGAATACTCCACTTTTGAATAGTATTTTTTAAAAATAAAGCCAAATTTTGAGATGTATGCCTATCATCAAATTTCTCACACCCAAGACATACTGACTGAAGTGATACATTTTCGTCAATAAAGTGAGCAGTAACTCCCATAAAACTCTCATTTTTAATTGACGTCCATCCATCTGTTGTCAGACACACCGCAAAACAGTTGGTCATGAGAGCTTGCACTTTCTCATGTGTCTGATGATATAGCAGAGGTATCATGCTGTTGGATACGGTTTTTCTTGAAGGAAGCTTATAACCACCATTCAACATCTTCAAAAGGTTTTGAAACTCTTGATCCTCTACTATATCAAATGGATAATATCTATAAAAAAAAACCATAATTTTACCATTTTTATTTAATAAAAATATAGTGACTTTTTAGTGTATATAAATTTCATATTATTATTATAGGTAATTATTATATTTACCCTTTAACAATCATTTTAATCAGTTGTTGATCTACTCTTTTTTGATGATTGACATTTAGTGGCTTTGTGTTGCTGAAATAACTAGATAATGTGGACTGTCCATTTATGCGACGACGAGATGTTCCTGATGGTCCAGCAGTATCAGATATTGATGGACCTTGAGTCAATTCAGATGATGTAGATGGACCTGGAGTAGATTCGGATCCGGGTATAATTGGGTCATCAACAATATCTAAAAAAATATAGTTTTTCTACCATTACAAAAATACTTTATAAAATATATTTTTTAACACAATTGCACAAACCTTCTGTTGCATTCCTTTGATTTGTATTTAATGGAATCGTATAATGTTTTGACTTCATATGTCGTTTAAGGTTACTTAAAGATCCTCCTGCAGTGCTGAGGATAATACTGCAATATCCGCACTTTGCCTTCTGATATTCGATTTCTGTAAAATGATTCCATACCTCACTAGTTTTGGATCGATGAGGTGCCATAGTGCTAATTATAAATAAAACTTATTTAGTTTCTAAAATTATAATTAAATGTTTTAAATTTATATTTAATTAAATATGTAAGTACTACCTATGTCCTATATGTTTTGTACAGTTAATACAATCTGTACTTTTGGCATAATAAGAGTATAAACTAAAAACTAGGAACAAAACTAAAAAAAAATTATTGTAAGTCACCCATTGATGGTTTTTTAAATTCTGAACGAAATTATGAATGTATTAATTTTACAATAATGTGTTTTTTTTTTGTATCTGTGTATAGCATAACTTATCGAAATAATGCTTCAATTTCAAATTTCGTGGGTGGTTACCGATGGCAAAGTGTATATCCTTGATGCATTATAGCAGAGCTGGGCAAGTTAGTCATTTTTTTCAACTAGTTGAAGTTAAGTTACTTTAATAATAAAACTAACTAAGTTAGAATATAAGTTAGTTTCTGAAAACGTCAAAATTTCTAACTTAGTTAGTTAGAAGTTAGTTTGGTGAAAATAGAAACTAAAGTTAGAGTAGAAGTTAATTTTTTTTATAAATTAAAAAACTTTTTTGTTAAAATGTAAATAATAAGTTATCTAACTTCAATTATTGATTGAAATAAAACTAAAAAATTGAATTAAACACATAGTAATTTGTCAAAACGTTCTAATTAAGTAAGTAATATTTTCAATTTCTTGAAAATTAATAGGTATATCACTTGTTGGTTATTAGAAAATGAAAGGCGAAACAAAATAAAAAAAAATACATAATATAATAAAATTGTAACAATAATTATTGTTACTTTTTTTCTAATGAGTTAAATTAGACTATTTTACACATTAAATTCAACTAGTTAAGTTACAAAGTTAAAACTAATTTAACTTTAACTTTCCAACTAGTTAGTGCCCAGCTTTGCATTATAGAGGTTAAAAGTAAATATTTTCCAACAGTTAATCAAATTTCAAAAATATCGAGAAAAACAAAAAAAAAAATGACAGAAAAGTATGTTTTTTTGAACTATTGATAAATAAAAATTTGGTTAACCAATAAAACTTGAAAAACTAATACAAAGTTCCTTATGAGTTGTTCTTATAATAATTAAAAAAAAAATCAAAAATTATTAGCTACAATTTTTTTTTATAATTGTTTATAGTTCAAATTTTTACGAATTTGCGTAACGATAACGATTTATCCTCAATGATTTTAAATATTTGTTATTACTAAAAAAGTATAAGTTGCAGATACTTGAATTTGACTAAAATTTGACCAGTTATTTAGATTAGCATTTTTTTTTTTACATGATTTAATTTTCAAATTATTTCGCTTATTTTAATCTATTTATAAAGGCATTTGAAATATTCGTTTTTGTTTAGTTTTTTATATATAAATATCGATAAAAAATTTTATGCAGAGTCAAAATACTTGAAAATTTAATACAAAGTTCCTCATAAGTTAGGCTTATAGTGATTCAAAAATTATAAGCATACATAAGCACAATTTTTTTTTATTAGCGATTTAAGTTCAAATACTGACAAAAATTCGTCAAAATCATGATTATTTTCAATCTAATTTATAGGTATAATTCATAATTAAAATTTTTTTTTTTAAATTCATATAAATCCATGCTCTACTCATAATATTAAAATTAATTATAAAACACTTACCTTTTTATACAATTGCTGTTTATTTGAAAAATAAAACCGCAATGCACATAAAATTGAAATAATATTAGGAAACGAACTAATGTTCACCGCACAAAGTCAAAAAATAAACAAACAATAAACATTAAAAACGTTTATTAAATGTTATAAATTTCTGATTCCCTCCCAAAAAACATTCTTTTAAAAAAGGCCCATTATAATTGTAAACGTTTAATATAAGGGTATGTATATATATGTGTGTGTGTGTGTGTGTATCATGTATTCATGCGTGTATAACGTAATATTATAATATTATCTTGGGTTCAGTATAGGTAGACTGAAATTCAAAATTAAGCTGTATATTAGTATTTAATTTCACTATAAAACACTATAATGTTATCATTTGACAAGTTGACATTTGGGTAGTCGGGACACCTTTATTACTAATGAGTCACAAACACACAATAGGCAAAAAGGTAATTCATATAATATATAATTATATAATTAATATAAATTATGATAATAAATAAATATTTTTGTTAGTTTTACGAAATAATAAAAGTAGGAAAATAGAAAAAAAACACAGATTAAAAAATAATAAAATATATATGTACAAACTTTTTTTACCTAATTGATTATAATATATTATAATTATATATTCAGTGTGATTCTTATATTAAACAACACTGATATAAATGAGCCTGTATATAGGACTAACTACCTAACTACCTATATAATAAATTATTCAATTACAGATGATAATTTAATAGAATATTAAGTTTTTTAGGACTTTTTGTCCGACACTAAAAATATGCTCGATTTTTTGGTCCACTTTTTTCCGTTGCCTTTTTTTCTTAGATTCATATTGACCGTATCTAATATTTTTTTTTTTACGGAAGACGATTCTCAAGGAGAAATATTTTCGTAGTAGATTTCTGCCAATAAACATTTTGCTACCCCTAGTATAATCTTTTTTTTTTATTGATAGCTTTAAGTTAGGTACAACTAATACAGCTCAACAATTATATAAAAGTAGATTAAAATTTAATTAATAAAAAAAACAAGATAGGTAGGTACTATAATATAATAGTATAATCTAATAAATACAAAATTAAAAATTACATATTACTTCACAGATACTAGATAGTGAATATAATTTTCCAAAGTCTTATTACTTATTAGACACGAGTGAACAAAACACTTGAACCTATATAGCTACTCTGCATTGTTATGTATTCTTTCTAGACCAGGAATTATAAAATCGGGTTAGGGAGGGTAAATGTAAATTTGGTAGATAGGAACTATATTTTTATGGATAGGTAATCGGAAAAATATATAAATACTTATATAATATTATAATTATATAAATTTTTTTCATTTTTTTCATTTCAATAGGTAATAATTTACTTTCTTTTTTTTTTTTGCTGTTTGAACCGACAACGTCGTGGGAACTGTTTTCACAATACTTCCGCAGCGCCGCCATCGTTTATTTAAAATCAAATAATAATTACATTGTTAATAATGAGGGAAGACTGAGAAAATAACCTCGACTTGCCCCCTTACCGACATAATACATGTTTAATAGACAATACAAAATATGAAAAAAATTGCGTTGATGGTCTTAACGGGCCGATCTGAATCCGCCGCCCTGGATATCGCGTTCTGATCTGCCGTGATCATCCGTCCCACCCGTGAAATAATAATTTACTTGTATATGTTTATTATAACTTCTATTCTAAATTGTTGATTTTGAGATTTTTTTTCCTAGATTCATTTTTATGCGGTCTGCTCAGTCGTTCAGTGAACTATATTTTTAGGGGTTCTCCAGTCGTTGAGTTGGACTTAATTTTCTCATACAATTCAGTGAACTACTTATAGTTATTTTAAGTATCGGTCACTGGTCAGTCGTTCAGTGAACTAAAGTCATTTTAAGCCGGGTTCACACGTGTCAGTTAAAACGTTCATCATGACTGATTCATTTCTATTGACGATCCGTTTTACTGAACAAATCGTTCACACGGTTCAATAATAATGAAAATATTTAACTGAACATTCTTAATGAATCGTATGAATCGTGGCATTTTTTTGTTGCACGTGGTTGTTAGCACATCTCTTATTGTATTACCAACTTGTATTATTTTTCGATGGCGAATTCACAAAAGTCTTTAATGCGAACTAGTGTTAGGTTATTATGTGCTCAAATATCAAAAGAACTACAAAATATATTAAACCAATTTAAAAATAAAAAAACACGAAGATGGTGGGTCAGGAAATGGGTTTCAAGACGTGATACGTTGGGCGCTAGTGAACGTTTATTAAAAGAATTATCAACAGAAGATGTAGATTCATACAGAAATCATTTAAGATTGAATAAAGATCAATTTGAAATACTTCTATATCGGATAACTACAAAAATTCAAAAGCAAGACACAGTTATGAGAGCTGCTTTACCAGCGCGTACAAAATTGGAAATTACTCTTCGATACTTAGGCAAGTAAAAATATTAAAATTTTTAAAAATAAAAAAATATTTAGATTAGAATCAAAAGACACTTTATATTATATTATTATTATTGTATTTTGTTGTTGTTTATAGCTACGGGAGACTGGTTTTCTTCACTTGCTGCATTATATAGAATACCAAAAAATAGCATATCCGTATTTCTTCCAGAAGTTTGTACATCAATTTGTGAATCTTTAAGCGAGTATATAAAGGTGAGATTTTTTAACTAAATAATATTAAATATTCAATCTTAAATATTTTTTAAATTATATTCATAGCAAAACAAAACAATATAATAATTTTCCTTCTTTAAATATTTAACAAAATCAAATTATTCTGTAAATATTTTTAAATATATAAGTAACAAAACATAAGCAAAAATATAATTAAATACAAAATTAATTATAATAACGCATTTCTTATTGCTGTACCTAAAATATCAGCTGATGTTTCTGCTTGAGGTTGATTTTCGTTATCTGACATATTGTGTGACCATGATGAAGACATTGATTGCTCAGAAAATAAATCTGGAGATGATTGTGCCATGTAATCATATTTTTGCGATCCTTGGTTAATGAGTTGGTATAAACGTTCTTGTTTCATAACATCCATCAATTTTTCTTGACAAACGAAAGCTCTATCGAGTGGCATTTTTTTCAACTGAACAGCAATACTTTTGGCAAATAAATCGAATTCATCATCGTCTTCTTTACATGAATTACTTATAGCCTGAAGTTTATTAATAGAATTTTCTATTTGACCAATTTGGCTATAACATCTTTTATTAGCAGATTTTCGAGGTCGTGTTATATTCGATTTTTCTGCAACTGTTACGATTTCATTTTCAACCGTTGATATTTCTGATTGTGGTTCATCAATAACTGTGGGTTGTTCGTCATTGACATCATTTATAACTTGAGATTTAGGTTGCTCCAAAGACTTAACAGACTACAAATATTAATATCCAATTATTGTTAGTATATTTTAGTATAATCATATAACGTGTAATAATATACAATGTTGGTATGGCATAGCATTAAATATACCCCACTATTAAAATAAACATATTACTGATGTAGTTTACAAACAATTATTGTATTATTATTTATCTATTTTAGGTACCAAACACTGAGGACGAGTGGAAAAAAATTCAAAACGAATTCTATACACGATGGAATTTTCCAAACTGTGTGGGAGCAGTGGACGGAAAACACATTTTAATCCGTTGTCCGAAAAACACTGGATCCGAGTATTTTAACTACAAACACTCATTTAGTGTAATATTATTAGCTGTTGTCGATGCAAATTACTGTTTTTCTTATATTGATATTGGTACAAATGGTCGTGTAAACGATGCTAGGGTTTTTTCAAAATCATCTTTTTACGAAGCACTTGAAAACAAAACGTTAAAAATTCCATCAAATGGTGTATTTGTGGCAGATGATGCATTTCCATTAAGAAAAGATATGCTAAAACCTTATAGCAGAATTAGAAAATTGACTACAACTCAAAAAATATTTAATTATCGCTTGTCAAGGGCTAGGCGGACAGTGGAAAATGCGTTCGGTATTCTTACCTCTAGATTTCGAATACTTGAAAAACCTATACCGATTTTAGTTGAAAATGTACCTATAATTATTAAAACAATTTGTACATTACATAATTGGTTAAGGAAAACCTCAGATGAATATTTTCAAACAACATATGCGGATTCTGATGATTTTGATGGAACACCAGCACATTTAACAAATTTAACGAATTATTCAAGCAATCATTACAGTACCTCTGCAGGGATTTTACGTGATACATACGCAAACAAATTTATGACGACGGAAGCTGTACCATGGCAGTTTAACATGATTTAATTTTGTTTATATCAATACAATTTAATGTTTTTTTAATAATACAAATAATGTACATATTATGTACCTACTTGTTTTAAAATGCAAGAATAATTATTATTATTTGTTTATGAAATTTGTTGTATTGGTCATTATTTGCAAATATTATGAATATTATATATTAGAATTGTAATAAAAATATGTTCAATGTAGTTGTATTTGAAATCAGTTTTCGATAAAATTTTTCGATATCAGTTTTCGTTATCGGTAGGTACAACAAAAAATAACTATAATAAGTAATAACACGGGTTTTCACGTCCGAATACCGAAATTGTACTGTAATTATAACTTAAATATTATTACTTACCAAATTCGAAATACTGTTTTTTACTACACTAACGCCTCTTAGGTATTCATCAGCTTTTTTAAACCAAAATAGACGAGGTATATAAACATCTGCCAATCCAGCTCCACTTTTTTCCGAATTTATAATTTTGTTGAGCTCACTTTTATAGTTTGTACGAACTGTTTTTATTTTGGTTTTGATGTCATCAACTGACAGTCCAGGTAAATTCAAAGCTGAGCGCATACTTTCGTATGCTTCTTCTCGCCTTTCTCGGTTTTTATAATTGTCACTACTTATATTCCATAAACACTCATGTTGTCTGTATTGGTCCAAAAATGGTTCAATATAATCATCACGCCACTTAAAAACCATTTTAACAATTTATTTCGGGTTAATATATTAATTAATATTATAGTTAATATTATAATTTGAATAAGTACTGAAATTATAAAATATTTATATAATAGAATGAATTCAAAATGATTTTGAATCAAGTTCACACGTTTCAGTTGCCTTTCATGACGCGATACTGATCATTGGAAATGTCGCAAAATAGAAATAGTTTCTATATGACTGATAATCAATTTTGATGATTCAGTCATGCTGAAACAAGTGTTCACACGTTCATAACTGGTTCAGTTTTGATGAATCAGTCATAATGAACGTTTTAACTGACACGTGTGAACCCGGCTTTAGGTATCGGTCACTCGTTCAGTACCTACTTTAGTTTTAGTTAAATCGTTCAGTTGAACTAGTTCAGTGAACTAGTTCAATTTGATGAACGGTGAACGAACGAACTAGTTCACCCAAGTGAACGATAAGTCCCATCTCTACTCGCGACCAAAATACCGACTCGGAGTGGAGCGCGTACGAGGCGAGGCGAGACGAGACGAGACGAGACGACACGAGTGAACCGACTACACTCTCGTGCTCGCGCTGCCTCGCTTCGCCTCGGCGAGAGTGTGGAGCTAGCATAACGAAGTCGGTCGTCCCTTGACATGTGCCACGTGTTTTTCTCTCAGAATGAGTCGATTTCACTATTGCTTTTGTGTGTTTTCTAATCGCGTACCGTGTGTATTTTATGAATCGCGTGTGTGCTGTTTGTCCCCGAATTCGGTTCGTAGATGTCACCGTCGTGTTCAGAAAATGTGTACTTGCGGTATCGCGTGTATTGTTTCGATAGTGTATAAAACAATTATGTGAATAATAAAAATGTGCATATGATCATTGACATGCGTTAGATTTAACAGATTCTTATATATATATATATTACAAACACAAATAACAAAAGTTTTGTTCTTAAATCGTTTTAATACTTTTGATGGAGTTTGCAGTCATTGGTGACCATTAACTATGGTGAGTCTGATAAAGTTATAAAAATGTAATATTCATTATTAAGAATGAAATATAATTTATAGCCTCAAGTAGTGGTTTAAATATCATATATATCAGATATAGAAGTATAATTTTACAGGATTTTAATACTTACATTAATGTGTTATCGTATGAATATATTTATGCTTTATAAAATGATGCTATTATATATTTTGTATTTAGTATGCATTTATATTGATCCCGGTGAGTGTGATACTATTCCATTTTTTTGTAAAATATTTGATACTAACATTAGAGTAAACACTTGTAAAACGCACAATGTATTGTGTATTGGTAGTAAAAAATAAATGAGATAATAATAATAATATAAAAAAAATAATCAGAATTATAAGATGTATAATACAATAAAATAACACCAAATTTATAATTGAATATTAAACATAATATACAAATATATAAATATATAAATAATAATAATTATAATTATATTTATAATTGTATATAAATTTTTGTGTTATAGTATGTTTTAAAACTATATATGAATATATATGAATACAATTATGCATCATGAATCCTTACTATCATGTGTTTTGTGTATACTATACATTTATATTGATTTGAGTTAAATGTGGTTAAACACATATGCATAAATGTGATATAAAACCTATTTAATTCTTAAAATATTTTATATGTTATCATCTTTATTCTTAAGTAAACATAATATATATGAATCGAGTTTTTTTATCTTAATAATTATATAAAAAAAATAATCAGAATTTTAAGATGTAAAATACAATAAAATAACACTAAATTTATATATATATATATATATATATGTCGAAGGCCATATGGAAAATTAGTTTTTATGCAAAAAGACTAGACTCTTTGCAATGGGGTAGCCCGTTTGCGAATTACTTATTATTTTTCTAAACAGCCTGCTATTTTTCAGGCTCATTTCATACAGACTAACTGCAGTTAGACCTTTTATGAACTACAATTATAATAACAATGTAAATTATATTATTTTAAGGGTAATACAGTACATTATATGGAACATGTAAACCGAATAATTATATACGGTAGTTTATTACTTTTTATACGTATTACTTATTAATTTATATACAGTTATTGATTATTGAATTACTAGTTGTATTATATTATATTACTAACAAATATATATATATATATTATATATGTAAAATATTAAATTAAATTAAATTAAATTGCAATATTACAAAAATTATTACATTACAATATTAAGTATTATATAAAGTATTTACTTATTGTTACATGTAGTTTTTTCGTGACATCTTTAACTACATAGTACATTTTTTTTGCGACAAGCGCATCTATTTGTTTTGCACAATGTTTTGCAAAAACATTTTTGATAACCCTGTCCTCCAAATTGAGAATGTCTCTTCGCTATTTCTCTTAACGTTAACATTGTATCTGGTAATTGTCAAGAAATTCTGCATCGGTTGTCTGTAGAACATTTCTGCTTAACCACGTATTTATAATTCCAAATCTTGTACCAATTTGGTAAACGTTATTTTTTTTGTCGATAACTTTACCAATTATATTTTGTGTGTCTAATGGTCCACGGTCTACCTTTGGAATATTGACTAAAACATAATTTCCAACTTCAATTATAACTAATTTCTTATCACTAGCTTGTATCATTTTTCTGCGGCTTTTTTTTGTCCTTCAAAAGCTTTTACTCTTTCTTTCTGAATTTGTTTTTCTTTTACACATGTATCGCACAAAGACTCTTTGTTTATGATAGACATTTTAGAATTGCAATTTTTACAGTCATATATGTTATTATCCTTTTCATTAATTTTTTGGTTATCTTTTTCACTATCTTCTTCTTCGTTACTATCTACTTCATCACTTACTTCAGTATTAATTAACTCATTTAAATCTTCTTCTGTTGTTATCGACTGTAAGATATCATTAGGTAAATTTTTGCTAGAAAGTCCTATTTTTGGAAACAGCATCGGATATTGTAGCTATTGTCCATGGTTGTTTAACTGCGTTCGTTTTATTTTTATAATAATTAGTAACTTCATTGTTAAATTTGTTCACTACTGTTACATTTTCCATATTATGCACTCGTAAATATTAACGCACTCGATGAAATACACTCGGTTTACTAACGAATAGTACTGTAGTATGTACCAGTATGTTACTTACTGTAGTACGTACCTACCTACAGTAAGTTACAAAAATAGGTACAATGAAAAGTTATAATCTAATCTACTGATTAGTCATTATCTTGTAGATTCCATCAATTATTAGGTAGGTATACGTCGTCAATCCGTATCTAAATTCTTAAAATAGCCGGTTGTAATGTAGGTACCTACTAATAATGTAGGTAAAAACCAAAAATTTTAAATGTATACGATTGATATGATTAAATAAATAAAAAATAATTTAATAATTAATTATAAATACGCTATTCATACAGTTTATGAATAGGAACTAGGAAGTTATGTTTTAGCCAATATTAAAAAAGTAGATCGTGGACCATTAGATATTCAAAATATAATATTTTCAAAGTTGTAGGCAAAAATAAATATTTCACATATTTTTTAGTTAGTAATGTATAATAAAACTAGTAATTCAATAGTCAATAACTGTATAACTGTATAAGTAATAAATTAATAAGTAATACGTATAAAAAGTAATAAACTACCGTATATAATTATTCAGTTTACATATTCCATATAATGTACTGTACACCCTTAAAATAATATAATTTATATTGTTATTATAATTGTAGTTCTTAAAAGGTTTAACTGCAGTTAGTCTGTATGGAATGAGCCTGAAAAATAGCAGGCTGTTTAGAAAAATAATAAGTAATTCGCAAACGGGCTACCCCATTGCAACGAATCTAGTCTTTGCATAAAAACTAATTTTCCATATGGCCTACGACATATATATATGTGTGTTATAGTAAAAGTGGTGAATTCTGTTATTTTTTTGAAATAACTAGGCAGTTTATGAAATATCCACGAATGTTAGTTTAAGTATGAAATAATACATGAAAATTATACTTTAACTAGTTATTTCATAGAATATATAGTTATACCATTGATTATAGAATAGACAGATAGACAATGGTATAGGGATTTTCGGTGACTAAAATTTTATTTATAATAGCTCCCAATAGGTAGCGTTGTATGAATTAATATTAAGGTAGCCATACACGATCCGGTTTGCCGGAGAGGTCGGACTGCGCAGTTTAACCTGTACAGTTTTAACCGATTCCCGATGACGACATACACGCCACGATTTGCCGGATACGCAGGTCTGCGCAGTCTCATGCTTTCCGGCCAATAGT